GGGACCTGGGGTGTTTCCCTTGTTTCCTGCCTCCTCCTTCTGTCTTCTGGGGTGGCTTGCCACCCCCAAAGCTCTTCTACAGCAACCAGCTTGCCGTAAATGCTCACAAATCATAGAAGCTGCCCATCTGTTGGCCAAGACCCAGAGCTGAAAAGAATTCTTCAAGCTTGTTAGTTACATCAGATCTCTTCTCCTAGCTCTCCCCCAAACTGGGTCCCTTACCTTGCAGCTTGCCTCTACCTAAAAAAATACATACTAATTTTGATGTTAGGGTAAAAAATAGGGGTGGGGGATGAGTTAAGTGGAAAATAGATTTTTTCTACTTGTAATTATTTTTTTCCTTTATTGATTAAGGTATTACATATGTGCCCTTATCCCCTCATTGCTCCCCCAGCCCCCCACTCTGCCCTCACCCCCCCTGGTGTCTGTGTCCATTGGTTAGGCTTATATGCATTTAAGGGGGGCGGGAAAGGGAGGAAGTTTAATCCTCCAGGGTCAGGAGTCAGATTTCCTTACTGGGATTGGAGGGGTGAGATAATTGCATTAGGGTCTTCCCAGGCACCCCGAGGCTCAGAAGTGTGGGAGAGGGTCTAGGATTTCCTTTTGTTGACTCGTGGTTACGGCTTTTTAGTTGATGTGCCCATGGTCCCCTGTCACTTTGGGGCTAAATATCAATTTGCTGAGACTGGGTGATTGCTCTCAGCAGCCTTATATATTGGATTTTTAGGGAGACATCATTCTCATATGTCTACTGCTCATCTTACATCTTTCTGTTATCTAAACAGCATTTATGCTGAGAACTATAATGGAGGTAAATAAAGTACATATAGATATTTAAAACTCAAAATTCCTTCTCTTATTCTCCTCCAAACACCAAAATTATCTCAAGCATACAATTAGTGCCTGATTGTTATCAATGTTAAATTAACATTAGTTATTAAAGTCTTTGAAACTTACAATTTGTCATCATTTCTTTCTTGTCCTTTATTTTTCACACGCACAAAATCAGGTATTGGGTGATTGACTTGTTCTAACCAAGCAGCAAAAGCCAGACAACCCAAGAGGTGTTTAATAAACACTTGTTGACTGATTGATAGAATATACCGACCGAGGATCTCCCGGACAATGCACTCTTTGTCAGAGCATAGAGGTCAATCAGTGGATCCACTTCTATTACCAAGAGTTCTTGCCATATTGAGGAGAGCAGGGCAGCTGGAAACTCGTCCATCAACCCTGTGACTCAGGTGCTCAGAAGAAACCCTAGGGCCTTACCTATCACAGGTATTTTCACTCTCAGCAGCAGAGATGTGACTATCTGGGCTAAACAATGCTGAGCAGCTGGAGGCAGACCCAGCCATGACACCACCCAGGACTCCTTCCTATGAATATCACCGGAGCCGCAACTAACAGTTTGCACACATTAAAAAAACAAACCCTGAGCTGAGTAAAAGGCAGCAAAACAGTGTTGTAAGTCATCTGCAAAGCCCACCCGAGTCTTCCTGCCTTATTCTTTTTTTAAAAAATATATTTTATTGATTTTTTTTTACAGAGAGGAAGGGAGAGGGATAGAGACTTAGAAACATCAATGGGAAACATAGATCAGCTGCCTCCTGCACACCCCCTACTGGGGATGTGCCCGCAACCAAGGTACATGCCCCTGACTGGAATCGAACCTGGGACCTTTCAGTCCCCAGGCCGATGCTCTATCCACTGAGCCAAACTAGTTAGGGCAAGCCTTATTCTTCAGAGAGAAACCAAAGCACAAAATACCAACTTTTGGGCTCCACACAGCAGGGAGCAACTGTGGCCATCAGGTTCAGCCAACCATTCCAGAAAGAATGCCTGGGCACATGACACCTCTCCTTCCCCTTACAGCCACTTCTTTGCCTCCCTTGCTGGGCCTTTGGGTTGGACCTCCCGCAGATTTTGTGAAATGAGCTGAGTGACCTTTCCTCCGCTCCCCTCCAGGCCTGACTTTGGGTCCATAGCTTTCCCTAGACTTTGCTACTGACCGTGCCAGCTGTCTGGTACCTTTGTACCTGGGAATCTGAAAGGTCCCCAAACTATGTTTTCAACAATCAACATGCCAGCAGTTACACCAACCTTCCCATTAATCAGAATCCTTTGCCCCTTGCAGTGTTACCAGCCCACTTCTCTGTTCATAATATATTTTGTCCTTTTGAGAAATGAAAAATGTAAACAAATCAATATGCCTTCCTTCCAGAAGAGAAAACGCATGCCAGATTGAGCCTTGTCAGTCTACCATAAAGAATTCTCTTAAGCTTCATATCCAAATCCTCTTCTCCCAATTCTTGCTTGGGATCTTGAGTACCTGATCTTGAATTTCTGTGGCGCTCCCTGAGCACGGGACTGGCTGGTAACCATGTGATATTGATTTGTTTTCACCATAGCAACAGCAAATTACAACAACTAGCAGAGAGAAGGCAGGCTGTTAACCGGTAGAGCTGCATCACCAGTATAGTCTGCAAGCATATTTTCCTCCTTTCCTCTTATTTGCTCTCTTCTTCGTTCTACTTTCACAAATTTAATGCAAAAGTCAAAGCAAAAGAATAGCACTAAATGCGCTGAGGCACTACAGAGCCGAAGTCTGAAATAGTCTGGTGCACACAGCTCCTGGTATATTCCATTAGATCGATGGAGAAAATGCAAGCAGCCAAGCTCTGATTTCCTTGCAAATTTTATCAGTTAGTCTAAGAATAAATATCCCTAGAAAATGTACATGAGCACAAAGTAGAGGGAAGGGTTTTGTGTATATGTCTATATATTGTAATACCTTAAGACATTTACCAATAATGTTTATCCCTTTGTACCTGAAATAGCTCATTGGGCCAAGAGACAAACAACTTTTGTTTTTTTGTTGGTACAAAGTCAAGGCCTCTCAAAATGATAGAATTCTGAGGCGAAGCGTAGCAAGTATTACTCAATTGTATTAAGAGAGAAGAAACAGTGAGGTGGGCACTTGCTCAAGGCTACATAAGCAGTGCAGTTCGAAAGAGGATGCCAACTAGAACCGGGAACTCTGAGAACTGCAATCTGTTCTGATGGAAATCCTTTCTTCAAGGACCCCTTATTAGACACTAGCCACCCCCTGATGTCTGCCCCCAACAATGCCACCTGTGACCCTGGATTAACACTTGCAGTATTGGACTGCCCTTCCTCTGGTCCTTTCTGCACCGCGGCCTTCTGCTCTTTAAATAAAAACAGCAATTCCCACCATCACAACCGGCTGTGAGCTTGGTGGCATAACCTGGGTCCTGAATAGTGGCTGGGGGGAAGGAGGGAGTGGGAACCGGGCCATCGGGACTGTGGCAGTGCTGGGCTGCACCAAAGGGCAGTTGGGCCGCGTTCCGCTACCCACTGCCTCTCGCCAGTGCAGCCAGAACCCTGCAGAGAACCTGCTCTCACGCACCCGGTCCAAGGCAGGTAGGGGGAAGATGTCCTGTTTATGCGGGAGATCGGTTCAGGGTTTAGAAAGGACGGGCTAAAATATGAAGACATAACTCAAGACCTGCCAAGGGAGAGTTGGACTGTTCCTGGCCAGGACATAAAGAAGCACTCCCCTCCACCAGCCTGAATAAAAGAACACACAGCAGAAATAGTTGGGAGATGACGTCAGAAGTTCTGGGCTAGTGTCCTGCACTTCTCCTTGAAAGTGAAAACAGTGGGTCTAGAAGAATCTACGTGGCATTGCCTTAATGAAATGAGTGCTTCCACGGGTCCTCGTAAAACACTCAGGAAAACTGGAGAAACTTCATCTTATTTAAAGATTATAAGCACGTCCGCCCTTTTTTTGTTGTTGTTACTTTATTATCTCCCCAAATGCACCTATGACTCAATTAGCAAATTGCTTTCCACTAAACCTTTGTCTTTTAAAAGGATAGCAATGCTTCTGGAAGCGCTCTCATGGTGGTGGTGGGCAGGCAAGTCGGATTTTTTTCTTTGCTTCAGTGCTTGCTAACTATTCTAAAAATGTTACACATTTATTGTAAACACATGCTTCTGAGGCCTAACAAAAAGGCACAGTTTCCTCATGCCTGGCAGAAATTGAAAACGGAAGAGGGCAGAAAGAATCCTTTAACAAATATATCCTCCCCTTGTCTTGGGCCAAGCGTGTTATAAATCAATCTTCTCCATTATTTCTCGGTGCTGTTTCTCGGCAAGAAAGTTGATATGGTTCGGCAGAGTGAAAACACAGCTTTAAAAGCTAGCTGCCCTCATTAAATTATTCTGCTGGCTGTGTGTTCTCATTAAAAATGCATAAAGATCAGATAATTGCAGTAAGCGTTATTAACCCCGCTTTACTTTTGAATATAATGTTCCACTTTTAAGCTGGAAACAAAGGCTCCGACATGCCAGGAAAAGTGTAAACATTGAGCTACAGTATCCAAAACTTGTCAGAAAGCTACCTCTTAGCTTGTGAAAACTGTGCTTTTGAAACCAAATGAAAGCTGTGGCATTAGAGAGCTAGGTGGATCCCTAATTTCCGACAAATACATATATTTGGGGGCTAAACATTCAACCAATGATTATTTAGACGAAGTGTTCCCCCTCCCCCCTTAATTACAAGTCTATTTTCACATCATAGGAGCCGTGTAAACTTTATTTATTCAGGAGCTAACTATGGCAGTATGAAATTTCCTGTAACAACAACAAAAAAGAATGCTCTCAAGAATTCATTTTGTGTGTGTGTGTCGAACAACAAATGGATCTCGTCGTTGAATAAAAACTCGTTTTATGCCACACTGCCGAACAGGCGGCATAGATTCAAGCTTTGCCATTTCTTTTTCTCAAATCAAAATGTTACGTAAAACTCCAGGGTCCCCTGCAAGTATTACATTCGAATCAGTGGAATCCAGTTTCCCCGGCTCCCCGAAGCCACACACACGGAATGCAGCATACTGCAGCAAACTCTTTAAACATTCAAAAAAAAAAAAAGAAGAAGAAGAAGAAGAGGTGGTGTGGGGGGGTGATTCTCCTACCTTGTTTAGCTCTGCCTCTCCTTCCCTTTTACAGTAATCCCAGGAACATCTGGCAGAATCCAGCGGCCCAGGCTTCTCCCCGGCATCCTGAGGAAGAAATTTCCATGTAAATAGTTCTCCTTCCCTGTTTATTGTACTCTGAGCGCCGTCTGCCTTCGCTGGAAAATTTTGCCTTCAGATGATGAAGCAAAGACAGTCTAAACTCTGTTGCTGTAAGCTGCAGCCCTCCCTTCCGACAAATCCCTCCCAGCTGTAGGCAGCCAATCCCCAGCCAGTTCGTCAGCCCTACTCGTCTGAAACTGGCCCTAATAGGATGACTGACACAGCAACACAGCACTTGCAGTGTGTGAAAACAGTGCATCCATACTGATGAAAGAGGAATTTCCCTCTCAGAAGAAAGCAATCCTAGCACCCAGACAGAGTGGCACATAATTGGCAGAGCAGAGAGAGGGGTAGCTGGAGAGAACACCCTTGAAGACAGCCAGCCCAAAGCGTGTGGCTGCCCTGGGAATACTTTGAAAAGACAAAACTCCGCAGTTCCCCAAGAAATCCAGGTTGTACATGAAACCGAAGTCATGATCCCATTTGACCAAGCCTATGTTTTTAAAAGGAAAAAACAATTCGATGTCTGCCATGGAAAATTAGTACCTTACAAAGCATTTACACGTGATTTCCATTAGTGAGGGAGAATGTGTTAGCCCAAGTGCATATTCAAAGTCAAAACATGCGTATACCCTCACACACAGTTTCCCTGTACAACATCTGTTATTGCAGTGGTTAATTACTGTGGCCCATATATCTTTCATCTAAGTTTTCAGACCACTGGAGACTTTAAATAGGGAATTCTGAACAATGAAATTGATATCTACACACGACCCTTTTGTGTTCCTGGCAGGCACCCCTGAGATGATTGCGTGTGCCTTAACCAAACCCTAAGGTTTTGTATTAAGAGAGAGGAAACATTGAGGTGGGTGCTTGCTCAAGGCTATATAAGCAGTTCAGGTTGATGCCTAAGGTATCACTTGATAAATTCTTTGCATCAGCTCATATCGTCATTAATGAAGCCGTGACTGCACAAAGGTGTTTACTGCTGAACACTCACGGCAAATGAGGCACCATCAGGTGCCACTCCACAAAGGACATTCTAGAAGTGCTGAAGTTCCCTGAGATGAAGCCGGAAAAGAGAAATGGAAAGATTAGTAAGGGTTATTTATTCCCCCACTCCCCGCCCCCTGCCCTCCAGTCAACAGTACTTCTCATGCTTTGAAGAAGAAAACATATGGCAGTTGGAAAGCATAAAAAGCATACATGTTCCTTCCACTAAACACAACATTTTGAGTTTGAAAAAATTGTGTCATGATTACTTGATTAGACCAAGGCAGGAACAAAGCCCCATTCATCGGAAAGTTTGGATCTAATGCACTATTGTTTATGAGCAAGTGTTGGGTGCATCTGTAATGAAGTTATACTTGGGGTGAAATGTAACGGTTTCTTTTGATTTTGCCAATTCTATTTTACAAACACAAGGTTTCAGATGATTTTAGGCTATTTTCCACTCAATGCTTTAATCCATTCGAGGCTTATAATCTTTTTTTACCCCAATGTAAATCTATCATATATCATAACTTGCAGGCCTTTGTCTGCTATCATTTTCCTGGAAATTTAAATGATCTCTGTGGATCACACATCATACTACATGTAAGCGAATGATCACAGGTTTATGAATCTCTTCTTCCTGACCGCTCTGATTCTGACTTTGAAATTAACATTCTCTTCATTTTACTCCTGAAATTTTAGTCATTTTTTATTCATTCTCCTATTTTTGTCCAATGAAAGGAAGTTTTGTTGCGTTTTCTTTAGCTAGTCCAGAACTCTGACATATTACTTGGATGGCACCAACACTAATAAGTTGGCTTATGGGACTCAGGCCTTCCCATGTTCAAGCTCCCTTGTTGCCAGACAGGTTTACCTATCATGTAAAGTCATGTTCCTCCCATATTCAAACTCTTCTCTCTATAAAATCTGAATTACAGACTTCCAAGATCCTTCATAATCCTGCCCCTCCCTTTCTACTCAACTTCTTCCACACTGTTTTCCTAGGTGAGCTTTCTAATGGGGTCCAGAGCCTAACTCCCAAGAGCTTCACTTAACAAAATCTTACCCAACCTTTAGATCTCAACATGCCTCCTTTTTCTTCTGTTGCGGCTTTCCTATTCATAGTGTCTTCCCTGATGTTCTTCTCCTTTGAAAGCGTTCTGAACTATTCATCTTACCAGACTATTTTACCCTTAATGATGAGTTGATCTTCCCATCTCAAAAGGCTAGGTTTGTGTAGCACATTAAGATAATGTATGTAAAACATCTACACAGTGGCTGGCTATGATAAATGCTCATTAAATGATGGCTATTGTTCATTTCATTTAGCAAAGTGCCATGCACAAACTTGTTGATTTCATGATTCTTATCTCAAGAATTGGTATCATACACATCCAATTGCACAAGTCAAAAACTTGGCAGTCATTCTTGACCCTCCTCCTGAAACCATCATAGAAAAACCCATTATCAAAGCCATATTTAGCACCTAAATATTTAAAAAGGTTTTACTTTGCTCCATTTCTACCAATGCACCTTTACCTAAGCTATTAGGGTCTTTCACTATGAATACTGAAACACCTCTTTGTAAGTCTCCTGTATATATCCTTGACCACTTCAATCCCTTTTCTATATTTCAGCCAGGATAAATATTGTAAAACAGAATTCTGATTATTCCAAACTACTTTGCTTAAAACCTTTATTATGTACTGAACTGTGTCCCTTAAAAATTCATATGTCAAAGCCCCTAAATCCCAATGTGATGGTATTTGGAGATGGGGCCTTGGGGAGGTAATTAGGTCATGTGGATGGGGCCCTCATGAGCGGGTTAGTGCCCTTATAAGAAAATACATCAGGCAGAGAGATCATTTCTCTCTCTTTTAGTCAGGCAGGGGCACAGCAAGAAGGCAGTCATCTACAAACCAGGAAGAGAGTTTCCTCCTTTGCATAGTTCATCATCTTCTTGACACTTGACACTTGAAATCATCAGGCCAGAACTAGAAACATGCTGGCCTGCTGATTTCAGACTTCCAGCCTCCAGAACTATATGCAAATAAAGTTCTGCTAATTCAGCCATTGGCATTTTATTATGGCGGCTTGAGCTGACTAAACTAAACATTAAATATCATTGAGTTGCTCTTTTAGGAAAGAGATAAAAGTTTTCAACATGGCCTAGAAGGTCCTTTCTATACAGCCTCTGCTTAATCAGAGGCCATTTCTTCAGGGAACTCTTTCCTGACCCCCAAGATGAGTTCAGAGGAAATCTGATGTGTTCTCTCACAGCCCTTTGCACTCTAGAGCAGTGCTTCTCAAATTTAATGTACATGCAAATCCCCCAGAGATCTTGTTATAATGCACATTCTATCTCAGTAGTTATTGGGTGATACTGAGATTCTGCTTTGCTAACAAGCTCCCCGGTGATGCTGATGCTGCTGGTCCATGGACTACTCTTTGAGTAGCAAGATTTTATAAATGTTGATCACTTTATAGAACTTTTTACAGGGCATGACAATACATTTCTTTGGTTAATTACTTAAGATCTACCTTCTCAACCACACTGTCAGCATCAGAAGTCACCACTGTCTCTCCAGCATTTAATCTGGTATGTGCCTGCCAAATGAGAGGAGATTCTCAACAATAAATGTGTGTTGAATTCATGAATTGATCAGTACAACATACTGTAGATCCAAGCTGGCCTTTCCCCCCTCTTCTTCCTCATCTTCTTCTTTCTCCTTCTTCTCTTCCCTCCTCCTTCCTTCTCCTTCTACTTCTTTTTCTCCTTCTTTCTGTATCGTAACATTGAAACTCTGGAAAGAAAATAGAACTATCTTTTTTGACCCTTTAATAAACTTTAAATCATTTTAAATCAAAATGCAACAAGGTCATAACCCTCTATTCTTTCATTATCTTCTGCCCAAACGGAGCTTTATTGCGATGGCTAAATGCTTAAAACTACATGAGAGGTGTCAGCTGAGGCCAGGAGGAGATGTGTGTGAGAAGATATGGGAGCCAAAATTTAAGTGTTTACTGAGATCATAATATACTAAATAGGAAGGAGAACGGTTGAGAAACCAAACATAGAACAAGTATCAAGAAGGTGGTGAACTATGTAAAGGAGGTGGCCAGAAGAATTGAAAGACAACAACTTTGTTTTTGTCCAATAGAAGTTGTCAATTATCTTCTACAGGTTGATGAACTCAAGATCTATAACTTCATCCCTTTCTCTTGATCTCAGGCCCAATTCTTCATAAAATGTGCCAGAGATAAAATAATTTTCACCATGCCCCAAACTAAAATCATTTTTATTGTATTGAATTACTTTTATCTTGTTTCCCATTTCCATGAATGGAAACTACCATCTTCATTGTCTATTGCTCTCTCACCACCAACATTCAAATACTCCCAAGTTTTATAAATTCCTACATCTCAAATCCATCTAATTTTCTCCTGGTTCACTGTTGTGTCCCCAATTCAAGTTCCCATTACCTTTTATCTCTTTTTCACTTCTCTGCCTCCATCCAATCTTGCCCCTAACTTTCACTCTATCCACTACACTGCAGCCAAACTGATATTTTAAAAATACAAATCTTATAATGCCATTATCTGCACAAAATGACTCCCCGTTATTGTCAGAATAAATCCCTAGATTAATTCTCAAGTATATTTTCTCACTCCTATTGAATTCACTTCCAGCCTACTTCACACCAAGCATTAAAATTAATTTTAATCATTAGAATGTGTTATGTTCTTTATACTTTAGAGTCTGGAATCCTTCTGCATGAAACATATTTTATTACTTTCATACCCATCTAACCTCTTTCCATCAGGCAGTACTCAATGCACACACCATGTCTTGCAGGAAGCCTTCCATGAGCACCATGATTTCCCTGGCACCTTAACATTTTATTCATCATAGCAATTGTCACAGTCTATACTGTAAATATGTTATATTTGTTTATGTACCTCACTAATCTCTGTGAGAGAAGTTACCCTGTATTTCTTGCTCATCAGTTTATCCCTAGCACCTAAAGCATGCAGTGATATAATAGCAGATGCTTATGAAATAGCTGTTGAATGGTTAAATAGATAAACTTGAAAATAGAACTAGTAATGAAGTGGTAAAAA